GATGGGAAGCCGGACCCGGTGGAGACCCTGACCCGGTAGAAACCCTGACCCGATGGGAACCCCGACCCAGTAGAAACCCTGACCCGATGGGAACCCTGACCCGGTGGGGACCCTGACCTGGTGGGGACCCTGACCCAGTAGAAACCCCGACCCAGTAGAAACCCTGACCCGATGGCAACCCTGACCCGGTAGAAACCCTGAGCCGATGGGGACCCTGACCCGGTAGAAACCCTGACCCGATGGCAACCCTGACCCGATGGGAACCCTGACCCGGTGGGGACCCTGACCCGGTAGAAACCCTGACCCGGTGGGGACCCCTGACCCGGTAGAAACCTGAGCCGATGGGAACCCTGACCCGGTGGGGACCCTGACCTGGTGGGGACCCTGACCCAGTAGAAACCCCGACCCAGTAGAAACCCTGACCCGATGGCAACCCTGACCCGGTAGAAACCCTGAGCCGATGGGGACCCTGACCCGGTAGAAACCCTGACCCGATGGGGACCCCGACCCGATGGGGACCCCGACCCGGTAGAAACCCTGAGCCGGTAGAGACCCTGACCCGATGGGAACTCTGACTCAGTAGAAACCCCGACCCGGTGGAAACCCCATCAGCAAATGGGACCTGTGCTCACAAACCTTCTCCAGCTCCTGCTCCTGCAGCGTCTTGGCCTCCTCTGTCAGGTCCTCAAACTCATCTTCCTCCTGCAGCTTCTTCTTCCTCCACTCAATCTCTGTGAGAGATCAACCCTGCCGTTAGGTCTGTGGACTCAGAACTGGGACACAGCCTTGTGTGTAGTGTGAGAAGCTAGTGCAGCAGTGTAAACAGCAGAGATCAGCCGCTAGGAGCGTCTGTGCTCGTGTACTTGACGTGCACTACATCCGGGGCCTCACTCTGTGTGTTTAGCCTACGTGTGTGCGTTACCCATGGCGGCCAGTGACGGGGGGCAGGGCCAGTACTCTGTCTCTATCTTGGACGGCTGGTTGGGATCCGGAGGCTGAGCAGCTGGAAACTTTGCACACTGGATGACTCCGCTGCCTTCCAGGTGTTTGCCACCATCTGCAGAGACAGACACAGAACCGGTGAAGCCGCCTCAGTGGGAACCCACAGAACAACGAGCACGGCCATGAAGAGCGGCTCCTCACCCTGTTTGTAGATGGGAGGTTTCCTGTAGATGTTGCTCCCGTTGTCTGGAAAACACGAGCAGACGTGGTCGTCAGAGGGTGGGAACCTGGGACGACCAGGGCTTCAATCTAATCATTTAATCACAATGAACATGAAGGATGATGATGATATAGGAACACAGCGCATCCCTGGTCTGGTCCTGTGGGCACGAGGATGACACGAAGGCGTGCACGAGGGCGTGCAGCCAGCATGGTCTGGCCTTTACAGTAGAGCAGAAAACCTCACTATGTCTTTATTCCTCTGAAATACCTGCTCAGACCGGTTTCCTACTAGAAAACCCAGTTTTCATTTGCATCTGTCTGAAGTATAACTGTTTATTTGACTCGTGATGTGGAGACATAAACCTGTAGAGACTTTCCTCTCTCTGTGGGACACAATGTACGTTCCTGGGTTAATGTAAGGCAGTGTGAGGTAAGGTGGAGTGTGTGTGTGTGTGTGCACGACCTGGTCTGTGGAAATGCTGCAGACTGGTGCTGATCTTGCGTCCAGTCTGAAGTTGCAGCGTGGATCCCCCAGGAGAGCCGCTGTCACTCTCTGCCCTGCGCCCCTTCACCTGAAACAGAAACACACAGGTACCGACACCGGACGGACGCTGCTGCATCGGCATGTGACTTTCACGCCGACCACAACGTGGGGATAAAACTTTATTCAGCTCAGGGTTTCTGCAGATTCACTAGGTTCAGTTCAGTGATTCCAAACCTAAAATGAAACGCGCGGCCGCGTCACAAACCAGCGGGCGACGGCGTGATGGTCTACTGACAGAACCGATTTAATTAAACCAACGTGGACAAGCAGCAGAAATATTTTATATTTTATAAAGACGACTGGTATTAAAACATTAAAATTTGAATTTTACTTTAAATAATAATATAACGAATGTTATTGTTAAAAATATTATACACACATAGTGAAAAGTATCAAATCTGTGACAGGCAGGACCCAGGACACGCCTACATGTACCTGACACTAGTCTGCCGAGCACAGTGCTGGAGTGAGTGCACGTGAAGCTGTGAAGGGTTCCTGACACCGGTGGAGCATCAGACTCACTGATGAGACTCTGCCCGGATGGTGAGTCTGGTACGTTCTGTGGTGAAGCTTTGGGAACACAGGGGACATTTTGTGGGCGTGGCCATCTCTGCCTGAAGTTCCAGCAGTTTTCTGGAGGCCTGGGCCGTGTTCATGCAGAGAGGTCACGGCGTCTCCACAGAGACACTGGGCTCTCAGTGCTGCAGCCATGAACTGGCACCGTTCTTACACAAAGCAGCGATTGAAACGCACCAACCAGACAAAAACAGGCTGGACTGTGACCCGACGGCGGCACATGGAGGAGTTTACAGGGCTCAGCAGGAGTTCATGTCCAGGCTGGATCCCCATCAACTTGTTTTTGTCTTTTATGAGTTCACATGACGGAGCGGGGTCGGCTCTTATCGCTCTCCAACACTGTGTACAAAGCTGTTTCTATGTTGGACAGAGACCAGGCTAGAACCTCGCTCCTTCACATGAACAGCTCAGTGCTGTGGCGTGCACACAGCGCCCAACCCTCCTCTCATACCGTTACTCTGATGTGCACAAACAGTCCTCTCTGTCTTTCAGCTCACCAGACTGAAGCTCTTACAATACAAACATTGTATGAAAAAGGTGTGAACATGTTGTAATGAACCGTCCTGTGAAGTGTTACAGGTGTCGTCCAGTCTGAGGGTGGAGGCGGGTGACTCTTACCTCTGGAGACATGGTGGGAGACATAGCGGGAGGGGACAGAGACCGCTGCAGATCAGAGACACAACCACAACACATTAACACTAAAGGATGAGTAAACTTTAGTCCGTTGTTCCTCAGCCTGACCTGATGTGGTCACAGAGGAAACGCCAGGAAGGTGTTTCTGAGGGTGTGTCTGCGCTCCACAGACTCCTCCAACTACCTGGATGATCAAATATTCAGTCCACCGAATGAGAAAACCAATTTTGGTTGTGTCTAAACAAAGATGGCGGCTCACTGACCACCTGGGTAGAAGCAGCATCACACCTGTTGTCATCCAGAGGTTCCGAGTCTCCAGGAGTCTGAGCACATCCTTAGAACAGCAGTGTTTCAAACACCAGCCACTAGCTGTCAGAGGAACCGACGTCACGAGGCACAAACTGAGGCCGAGACTGTGACACAGGTCAGGCTGAGAGACAACACGGTAGCTAGAGGAGGTGCAGCTCTCCCTCCCTGCTCCGGGCCGATCTCCAGGAAAAGCAAACAAACTCCACTTTGTTGTCCTTTGTAACTAGTTTGGCTGAGAAAGCTTTTAATACATTGGTTATCTTCTTCTTCTTCTTCTTCTTCTTATCTACAGACATGAAAATATCTGCCTGGCCCTGCTGTGTAAGACTGTGCATACTGAATGTAGCGTGTGTGTAGCGTGCATGTACCTCTCTGCGGGGCGGGTCAAGCGAGGAGAAGCTCAGGTGTGGCTGGTAGGTCATCAGGTCGGGCCTCTCCACCTGCAGGATGGCCTTGTCTCTGGGCAGTGCTGCCAGGTCCCTGTAGCCCACCACCTGGTCGTTCACTAGGGCCTGGACGCACAGATCAGTTTAGTGTGTGCGAACACCGATGCTGCAGGTGTGTTGGAGCAGGTGTGAGTTTACCGTGATGCCTGTGGCAGGAGACCCCGGGGCGCTGGCCCCACTGGAGGATGGCAGGTTGACCGGGGTGACCCGTCCCTCCACCTGCGACACCAGAAGAGACAGTCTGTTTCAACCTGGGTCTGATCTTTGTGGTTTTCTCCACCGTTTCCAGTAGAAACAGTGGATGGGGGCACAGAGACATCACCAGGAATAAGTCCAGCAGGTCAGGAAACACAAACTCCTGGGTTCATTCATTAGGAAGTGAAGGCGAACAGTGAAACCTTTAGCCACACTGTGTGCGGTAAACATCTGTCAGTTTACTGACCCGCGCCGCAGGTTTATGTTCTTTATCCTAGAAGAAGCTAAGAAGGTCTTGAGAACTACAATGTGCCGGTGATGCTGTGCTAAGTGAAATCAATCCAGGCCGGTTCACTTTGTGTTGACAAGCCAACGTGCTGTTAAAGAATCAGACTGTGTTTGTCACTGAAGTTACAGTGGGAGGTTAAAATGCTAGAAAATAGGTTTTGCTGGTCCTGGTTCCTCCAGTCGTGACTTGTTTTTGGACTTTATTGTGGTGGTGTTACCGTGTGGCCAGGTCTCGGCTGTTATCACCTGTTTTAACAAACGTGATGGACAAAACTACATTGACTGTATGTTTTAGAGCTGACATTTCTGTTTCCCCTCCAAGTCTCTGCACATACGGCCTGTCGTCGTCATTCGGCGTCGGCCCCTCACAGACCGGTAACATGGAGGAGAGCGACGACAGGGACGGGGTCAGTGGAGAGACCAGGATGTTTCACATGTGGTGGACGTTTATGGAGAAGCTTCTGATCAGGACAAACTGGGAGGAACATATCTTAACCCAGAGGTTTGGGAGGAAACTGGGACGTTTGACCGTCACATTTCATTTACATCTGTGCATGTGTGACAGCGGTGTTCACACCAGGTACACAGCACTGACACACATGGACAGGAAGCAGCAACACAACACAGTCAGAGCTGAGCGTTGACCTTGGGTGAACCCTACATTTCTAATGGCCTGTAGGATGATTGATTACCTTCTGCATGGCTGGAGACAAACCTTCGTCCTGTCTGGTTTTAACCAGCTGGAGAGAAAGGAGAAGAGAGAGAGAGTCAATCAGCAGATGCATTAGCCGTTATACAGCAGCTCATCACAGGCCACCAGACTGACTCGTCACTGAGTCTGAGGAAACTCGTGACGCCTCGTTCCTGTGCACGTTTCTTTAAAGCAACGTAATGAAACCACAGACGTCATGTATCTTAAATGGACTTGTTCTCAGCAGACGTTGTGACAATGGGCCCCACCACTCCACCACAGGAGCAACACCCACCGACTGAGCACACAACTTGTTAATTGGTTGCCAGGTTGTGGAGAATCCCCCCCCAGCACAGCGCCTGGTCCTTTTAGCTTTTTCATTCGTTAGTGAGACCTCGGCCCTGGACTGTTTCCCGGCTGCAGACACCCGAACCAACATCCAGTCATTAGCCATTGAACATTTACAGCTGCAGACCTGCAGCTCGTACATTGAGATCTCACACTTACTGTGTTGTTCTCTCCACATCTGGACTATTTTAAGTTCTGCATGCAGATCAACAGCGAGTCAGACTCCACGTCCAAGTCAGCAGGTGGTTATAATAGTGTGTCAGCAGTTTGTACAGCCATGTATAAGGTGGAGAGGCCTCTCTCATCAGTTAATGAGCTAAAAAGATGAGCAGTGGTTCACGACTGATCAGTAAATGATTTATTAGGCACCGATAAAGCCATTAATTCCTCTATCAGAGCGCTGCTGACACGTCTCTCCTCCTTGTGAGCTGCATCCAGAACGAGTGCTCTTGTTTCAGAGCTGCCAGATGCAGCACATCCCTCGGGTGCGGCTGGGACGGCAGGGACAAGGAGACTGTGAGTAAAACAACCCTGAGACTCAGACGATGCCTGGCTGCTACCAGAGCCTCCTCAGGGGACACGTGGTGAAGGTGGACCGGCTGCAGTCGTCTCTGCTAAGGATATCCTCCACTTCCTGTGGCCCGCCCCTCACATCACATCTTCTGTTTGATCTGCTCACCCTCCCTCGTCTTCCTCTGCCTCCATCTTCCTCTCCCTCCCCTCTCCTGTTTATCAGCTCGCCCAGCCGGGCCAACGCCCAGCTGCTTCTAACAGCTACTGCTGTGGTTACACTCCTCCCTCCAGCGAATCAGCAGAACACAGCCAGCAGAGCTTCACCTCCACTCCCTCCTTCTGTTCTGTAATGCCAACCCCGAACACCTGCCACCAGCCCAGAGAGACAGGACGTCTCTGCTGCTTGTCCTCAGCTGAACCTGGTCTGTGCTGAAGCAGGTGTCATCGTCCACACAGCACAGACAGATGTTTTCCTCTGGATAAATAACCTCCCTGCTTGTTTCCAGTGCGTGGTGGAAGAAGTACTTAAATCAAAGTAGAAATAGTCTCCTACAAGGACAGAGACTGCATTCAGTCTGTTTGTGAAGACAACGGAGCAACAGGTTCCGCCTGGTCCCACTCTCATGTCTCTAAAGTTAGCTTAGTATCAAGACAGGGAACGGGGCAAACTGCTAGCCTGGCTCTGACCAGGGGGACCAGAGGGCACCTTTAGATATGTTACATCTTTAGTTTGATCCTGTTAGCGCTGCCAGGTGGACTGATACCTGTGGACGAGACTGTCCTGTAGAAAACAACCCTGCAGGTCATGCAGGCGCCTCAGACCAGCTGAGCTTTATTGTCACACGCCCTCTAGTGGCTGCAAACATTAGTGTGGTAACACAGTAACGTGAGTAACATCAGCCTGTTAGCACTGGCACTGGGAGATGGTAGCATCCAGCCCAGAGCACCACGGTGTCTTGGTACTAGCATGGCTGGATGCTCTGAGTTTAAACCTTAAAGTATTAATGTGGCCCCCAAAGCTGCAGCTCAGGCTCTGCTCGGCACAAGGTTTGTATGTAAAGTGTTGCTCTGCCCAGTGACCAGGAGCTTTGTCTGCAGGAGAATGTGGAGCACTGAACAGTCCACATGTCCCTCTGAGGGGGAGTGACAGAGAAATACAACGTAACTAAAATACCAGTAACTAAAGTAAAAGTGTACTTTGTTCCCTGCAGCAGTGGCCGTCTCCGGTCTCTGAGGACCGACTGACCAAGTGTGAGTGCTCTCTGTCCGATGGTCTTATCACTGAGGGCGTCTAACGGCCAGGACCACGGCTGCAGCTGAGCTCAGTGTGTGTGTCCACTCGTCCGACCTACACACAGTTAAGTACTGTTTATAAGGCTCGTACCACAGTGTCAGGACGTTTTCCTGACCGGGGTAGACCTGTTGATTATGGACATTACAGACTGTTTGGACAGTGAAGTGATCATGTGTTCAGTGTAAAATGTGAGAAAGGCCTGTTAGTCTCCTGGAGCCCAAAGGGACCATGTGCAGTGCCACGTTAGAGGCTGGAGCAGGCAGACGTTTTGTTTTCACAGTGACTCAAACTATCGATTATTGACCCTTTTGTAGTTAATAAATTACTTTGTTGGCTCAGTTTAGTTTTACATCTTCACTCTACAGTGAATGAGCAGCAAAAGGAGCAGTCACTGTTTTAGTTCAGGAGCCAGTAAAGTGCAGGAGGAAGCCACAGAAATCACAGTGTGTCCTCTACATGTTTACATTACATGTCTTTAACAGGCTTGTTCTTGGCACCACAGTGGTACTAATCACCTGAATTCATCAGTCGGTTGATCAACAGAAGATGAATCTTCCATATCAATAATAACTGACTGATTGATTGATTCCAGCCTGACAAATGTAAATATTTGAACTATTTGAGTATTTGTTGTGCCAACCTGGGCTCAGACAAGCTGAAGTATAGAAACCCAGTCGTTACAGTTAGTTACAGACATAAGGAGCCAATCATTCACCTGTTCCAGGCTCTTGAATCAAAGATTTGCTGCTTTTCAGTTTCCCGTCACAGTAAACGGGACGTGTTTGGTTTTTGTGCCGCTGGTCGAACAAAACAAGACGTTAACGAGCAGCTTTTGGCGACCGGATGGCGTTTTTCATCGTCTTGTGACGTAATAGTCCAGGAAATAGCAGAACAACCAACAGAGCAAATTAATCAACAACAACCATCGAAGCCGTTGGATAATGAGGCGCAGCAGTGGGATGTGTCCGCGCACAGGCCTCTAACAAACAGGACAAACCTTAAATACCTGCTCCTGTGACCGTTTGATCGAAGGGATCGTGGAGACCTGGTCTGAAATGATCCTTCGACGTTAAAGCTGCTGACCGTGTGGCCTACAATATCCGAGGCTGAATCACGGATGAAGGAGGAGGGAGAGGAGACAAGTGCGTCTGCAGCAGCACGATAAAAACAGCCTGAATATCCCGGGTTAAACCCGGCAAAGACGCGGGATCTGATAGGCGTATTCTCGGTTATTCAGGAGAAAAGAAACAGCTCTTACCTCCAAACAGCGCAGGATAAATGAGAGATGCTGCAGGCTGAGCTCGGGCTGGACGCATCCAGGACACAGTGGCGCTCCGAGGGGAGGAGGTGGGGGGCGGAGGAGGAAGAGGAGGCGGTGTTATGTGATGTGTCCGCAGCCCGCGTTAAGGCCCCGACTGGGGGCTGCTATGACCCCGGGAGGAGGAGGAGGAGGAGGAGGAGGCCGCTTCCCTGTTGCTCCAGCGGACCCTGCGCCGGGACGCTGCGTAATATGCGCCTCCAGGAAAACCGAGCAATGTCCTCCCGCAGCCGAGACCGAGTCCGTGCGCGGGGTCGGGGTGTCACTCTTTAGTACTCAGCTTCACTGCAGCGTTTCAGATGGTTTAAAAATAGGCAAGTGTGGCATCGGGCGCGCGCGTTGACGCGACTCGCTGAGTCCAGTGGCTTAATAAACAGCATTAATCAGTAAAACGCATCATTAAGCCACCAGGTGGAAGAAACACCTGCAGAACGTTCGAGTCCCTGAGCCCGCTTCTTCTGAACCAAGTGAAATGTGTGATAACACGTCCACAGGTCAATTCTCTGGAGTTTACAGCTCGTCACACTTCATTAATCCTGGATATTTTCCTCAGAATAGGCATTTTTGTAGAATTACATTTACAGAAGATCTTGAAAAGACTTTTCTTCAGTTTTACTTGTTTAGTTGTATTACTTTAATCTCTCTGTGTTGTTAAAATTGGGATTTAATAACAATATATTAAAACATGTTACAAAATACACATGCTTTCTAAGGGTGTCCTAATTTTTTCACATGACTGTATATCTGCATAAAAGATAGATCATAATTAAATCTATAGAACGTAAATGTATAAATTAATTCATATATGTAGGTGTAATGGTGTAGTCTGTTAAATAGTAGGTTATAACTGTAGCCTTTTGTTTAAAAGAAGAAATATTGATCGTTTTTCCATTTTAAAGAAACTGTACTGGGATAAAAGTACAAGACCAAATTCTTTGTATCACAAAATGACCACAAAGTACAACATCTCGTGGTTTGCAAAGGAAAACTACATGAAGGGGAGTTAAAATTCACGTTAAGTTAAAAAAGTGTCAACAGTTTTTACACTCTTTACATTTAAAGAAAAAATAAACCAGTAAACTGTTTGACTTCGTTTGTGAAAACCTTTTTTTTTGGTCCGCAAGTTTTGACTTGGTCTGACACTGGTCCTTTAAATAAGTGACGTCACCAAGGTCAAAGTTGAACACAAAGAGTAAATAAACGTAAGAAGGTTCACTGTGTCCAACGATAGTCTGTCAAAACGTTTGTTGAGGTTATAGTCACAGGAAGAGTTGAGTAAATTCCAGACAAGTAAAAGTCACGTGATAATGAACGACGTAAAGTGACGTCGTTGTGAGTTGTTTCAAAGACCTGTGTAAGTTCACGCGCATGGCTCTCAATTTCAGTTTCTTCATAATTTAGTTTCACATTTCAAGATTTACCTGTGGTAAAATTGTGATCTGACTCTATAAATGTCATATTTTCTGGCTATTATAATTTTTTTAAGGTCCAATTTTTATAAAAAATATTTTGTCTTTATTTTCAGGAGACAGGAAGACAAAGCACATGTGTACAGTAGTTCATCTTCACCAGAGACGATCTTTGGGCAGGAGAAATGGCGTCGGATAATGGACTGGCTTCTCTGGTGAGGACACGAAACACTAACATTCAAACTGTTGTGTATATTTGTTTGTCTCTGGACTGTGTTTGTGATCCGACTCAACAAAGAGTTAGTAACGAGTGTTAGAGGTTGACAGCGTTAAAATTAATCAGTTAGGGTGTAAAGTCCTTAAAGTTCTTCTTACCATACTGACTCTGAGAGACGAGACAGTCCAAGTCAAAACAGTGCTGATTTATTCAAAGGATCACAGGTAAAATTAACATTACACGCTCAGGTATATTCCACCTCCAAACTGCTCCCAGGCAGATGTAAGATGAAAGACCCTGAACCCACCAGGCCTATACATTATGTCGGCTAGGTTGGGCTAGCCCCATGCTACACTCTTCTCTCTAGTTATCCTTACATTATGTCGGCTAGCCCCATGCTACACTCTTCTCTCTAGTTATCCTTGACCAGATGTACCCTGTAGAAACTCATAAGCATGACTAAGCATTTAACAGTCTAACTAGACATCCTATCTCCACTAAACATCTCTAATACATAAAGTATCTATCTGACTAAAAATACCTAACAGGTGGTTAACGTTAGCTAACCTTGCTAGCCCTGCTAGCTGAAAGGACCACACGTGTAGCAAACAGACCTGTAAGTTAACGTTGGATAAACACTGAACTCTGACAAGTCACGTGTTTGTACTAATGTCATACACGTGAGAAAGTGGCTCATAGTATAATGACTGGTTTATGATGACGTCTTCCAGCCCCCTCCGTGTGAACTGACCCCACCGAGCTGACATGTGTCCCTGTGTTTTGGTTGACAGGGGGTGGAGGGAGCCTCGGCTGCTGCACACGCTCTGTCTCTTCCAGCAGAAGCTTATGGAAATGATGTAAGTACACGTTTCCCCATCGTCAGTCAGAATCACAAACAGCTGTCAAAGCTCTTGAAGCCTGAATTAAGATCCCAGGAGGTTTGTTTGGCTCACGTTGACCCCAACTAGTCAGCCAGTGGCACCTGACCTTTAAGGCTCCAGATAATGATTATATTCAGTGGTGGTCACTCTCTCCAATTCATCAATCCATTGTTTATGTATTTAGTCAGTGAAATGGAGAAAAACGTCCATGTCCCCAGAGTCCACTGAGTGTGTGGCATCTTCAAATGTCTTGTTTGACCAAGAGTCCAAACCCCCGAGATTCCCTTTACTGTGACAGAAGACAGAAAGGAATGTTTAGTCTTTTAAAACCAGTTTTTAATTGAAAATACTACAAAGATGACAGAGAAATTAGTTTTTTGACAAAAGCTGCTGATTCTAAATGATTTGCCAGCAACGTGTTTCACAGCCGTTGGGACAGTTTCCCACCGCACAGCTCCTGCTTCAACAACACTCTGCCATGGGGAGCTGAGGCCGTTTTAGTCCTGAAAGAGGAAGGTTTCCCCGTTTCAGCTGCCCAACAGTTCAGGGCCTCTGTTGTCGTAGCCCTCATCCATAATGCAGCCGACGATTTCAGTGACTGATCTGCAGGCGGGACAGTTCAGCACCTGGACTCTTACTATGGAGTCACGCTGCTGGAGTATGTGCAGAGTGAGGCGTCGTCTCTGGATGGCGGCATGTTGCTCCTCAACATTAGCAGTGTCTTCACAGATCTGCCAAGTGACGTTCAGGAAATCCATGGCACCATGGATGCTGCCTTTTGGGCTATGTGCTGATAACAGGCCAGACGGTCCCTCTCCTCTTTAGCCCAGAGGAGGTGACGGACACAGCTTCCAAAGAAAGTTACAGATTGTGACTCGTCAGACCACAGGACGTTTCCACTTCATCTCAGTCCATCTTACACGAGTTTGGGCCCAGAGAAGGCAGCAGCACCTGGATCCTGTTTAAATATGGTTGTTTCTCTGACTCTTACTATGGAGTCACGCTGCTGGAGTATGTGCAGAGTGAGGCGTCGTCTCTGGATGGCGGCATGTTGCTCCTCAACATTAGCAGCGTCTTCACAGATCTGCAGTTACCCACACTGTGTGCACCAAGACAGTGAAGCCCCAATTGCCCCAGATGATGTCACCGCTGTGTGAATGTGGTAGTGTGAGAGACCATTTACCGTTCCTGAGCCCATGCACTGATTTCACTGTTGAGCGCCGAGTCTCCTGAGGCCAGAAGATCACGGCCATGTTGGTTTTCAGCCGTGTCGCTTGTTTACAGAGATTTCTCTGGGTAGTTTAGTGATGTTATGAGCTGCAGATGATGTGTCTTTGCAGTTTTCAGTTTTACACTGAGAAGCATCAATTTCATATTGATGAACTGTTTACCAGAGTGGTGACCCTCCCCTCCTCCTTCAGAAGTGGGACGCCCTCTCTGGACCCATACCGCATGCTGACCTGTGGCCAGGTGGACTCTGAAACATGTTGCTGGCATCAAACTCAGAACAGGTTTATATAAACAAAATGTATTAATATAACGTTAAAGTCTTTGTCTCGGTTTAGCCTGATGTTGTCAGTAAGAAGCTACTGCAACCAATCAATTTTTAGACTACACGTGCACGTTTTTGTGTATACAGCAAACACATTATAGCTGTAAAAATGTACATTGTTGTATAAAATGGTATTAGTTGGAAACAGAAAATGTAATATTTGTTCAAGTTTTTGATGAGTCTGCACATTAGTTATGGTTTTATATCATGTAAACAAAAAGAGATTAGTGTCGGGTTTCTCTGAACCGAGTGTGAAGTTTAATAAAGATATTTTAGTTTGACCAGTGTCCAAAACCCAAATATTCAGTTTACTGTTAAATAAAACAGAGAAAAGCAGGAAACAGCAAATGTTTATTTCTGCTTGAAAGTTAAGAATCTGTTAAACGATCAATGTGCTGATGGGATGTTGCTGCTGCAGAGTGTAGTCGCGTCAGTCAGACTCAGTTTCACTCCGCCTCTTCAAACCAGTTTCCCACTGACGAAGAGGAGGAGTAAAATGTGGTGCAGTTCTTTTTATTCTGTGATTCAGGACACACGAGTTTATGTAAAAGTACACGGCATTTTATTTCCATTAATTCAACCTCGAGTTAGGTAAAAGATAAAAGGTAAAAGGTAAAAGGTAAAAGATTCCACCTGGCGGTGGAGACCCGGCCAAGACGGGAGTTTGTAAAGCAGCGCTCAGTGTTCTGAAGCGAAATGTGCTGAAACAGAGGCATTAATAACAAACTCAGCCTGTCAGGACAAGAGCCACCTGTGAACTGATCAGGTGTCTGCAGCAGCAACGTGGAAGCCGTCAGACCCAGTCTGTTGAACTGTGTGCGCTTCATGCAACCATGGTGACGGGACCCAGCGTTCACCTTTGACCTGTGTGTTTCTCTGCTCTTTCAGCCCCAGCTCGAGGTCATATGGGCGATGAAGGCGTACAACCACGCAGAGGTTTACTTCAATGTAAGTCACCACCCACAGGGGGAATCAGGTTTAAAGGATGTGTGTGAAGCACAGGTCCAGGTGTGAATGACCTAAACATCCAGTGACGTGAGGTTGACAGCTGGTGAGGCACTGACTCTTTTAGTCAGATTTACAAATACAACTTGTCTGTTAACAGACAATGCGTTGTGTTTTATATCTCATATCAGCATTCTTCACACAAACGTGACCCATATTTAATTTGAGGTTAAAATTTATTCCAGTTGAGCTTATTTCTAACTAGAAATAATAAAAGTTTATGGTCTTACCTTTACTTGTACACGAAATCCATTTGTCAGCTGGTATGTATTACAAACCCTTTTACCGTTCGAATCCAATATTAAAACAAAT